ATCTCCAGCTTTATTGATGTAATTCATGTAAAATAAACTACACATATTTCAAGACTGCCCCCAGATGCCAGCTGCAATATGTGTCTAAGGTCTACCTGCATTTCTGCCTAACTGACTACACATTTTGGGCTTCCCATGACCTTCTTAGGTTTGAGATTTCACTAGAACAACTCACAGAACTCAAGAAAGTCCTACGCCTATGATTATTTTTACCGTAAAGGGTACATCCCAGGAACTGCAAAGTGGTTGTTACGTAGGGCAAGGTCTCATGGGAAGAAGTGGAGTACAGAGCTTCCACACCCTCTTCAGGAGTGCCACCCTCCCAGCACACTGACGGGTTCATCAACCTGGAAGCTCTCCAGACCTCATCGTTCTAGAGTTCTCATTCAAGTTTCATTACACGGGCCCCATTGATTAAATCATTGGCTGTTAGTAATTGAACTGAGTCTCTAGCCTCCTGGAAATCAAGTGGTAGGGCTGAAAGTTCCAATCGTCTAATCACATGATTGGTTCCTCTGGCAATCACTCCTATCCTGAAGTTATCTAGGGCTTTTCCAAGTCACCTCATTAGCATAAACTCAGGTATGGGTGAAAAGGGCTCCTTATGAATAAGACATTCCTGTCACTCAGGAAATTCCACCGGTTTTAGGAGCTCTGTGCCAAGAAGCAGGACAGAGACCAAATATCAATACATATATTTTTAATTTTACTGTATATATCATTTCCAAAAGTTTGCTCTTGCCTCTTTGTTATCAAACAATATGTACTCTTTTTTTTTTTTTTTTTTTAAATCTGGCTCCTTTTACCCAGAATAATGTTTTTGAGATCCACCCATGTTATATCAGTGATGTATTCCTTTTCATTGTTGAATATTATTATATTACATGGATACCCACTCGTTTTTATCCATTTGTTCACCTGTTGGGGGCACTTGGGTTGTTTCCAGCTTTTGATCCTCACGAGTGAAGCTGCTGAGAACATTCATGTGCAAGTCTTTGTATGGGTGTATGCTTTCATTTCCCCGGGGTAAATACCTAGAAGTGGAATTGATGGGATTTTATCGTGGTTTGTGTTTAACTTATTACGAAACTGCCCAATTGTTTTCCAAAGTGTTTGTTTCGTTTTACATTCCCACTTGCAGTGTATGAGGATTCTGGTTATTCCACGTCTTTGCCAATGTGTGATACGGTCAGTCTTTTCAAATTTTAGCTACTCTAATAGGAGTGTAGTAATATCTCATTGTGATTTTAATTTGCCTTTTCCTAATGACTAATGTTGTCGAGAATCTCTTCGTATGATTCTTTGCCATCCACGTATCTTCCTTGGTGAAGTGTCTGTATGCATCATTTGCCCATTTTTTTAAGAGGGTTTTTTGTTTTGTTATTCATCAGCTTTGAAAATCCTTTATATATGCTGGATACAATTCCTCAATCAGATACATGATTTGCCAGCGTTTCCTCTCGGTCTGTGGCTTGTCTTTTAATTCTCTCCAGTGCTTTTTGAAGAGCAGAATTAAACCAAAATTCAATAACAGAAGGATATCTGGACATCTCCATATATCTGGAAATGAATCAACTCAGTTATAAATAACTTACAGTTCAAGGAAAAAAATATCAAGAGAAATTAGACAATAATTTGAATTGAATGAACATGAAAACAGACTATTAATATCTGTGAGGTACAGTTAAGTCAATGCCCAGAGGAAATTTTACAACTTTAAATGATTATATTAGAAATGTTTAAATTCAGTGATCAGACTTTTTAAGAAATTAGAAAAGTAGCAAATTAATCCCACATGTAAGTTGTAAGCATTTAAATAACAGAGTGGAAATCAATGAAATATAAATAATAGAAGAAAATGAATGAAACAAAAACTAAAGATCAGTACAGTTGATAAACGTCTGCTTAGATTGATCAAGGGAAAACAAAAGGAAAACACAGTTTAACAGTATAAAGAATGAATGAAGAGCTGTCACTAAATCTTACGGACATTAAAAGGGCAATAAAGAAATATGATCAAATTTCAGTAATTTGACAGACTGGATGAACTGGACAAATTCCTTAAAAGATACAAGTTACCAGTACAAGAAGGAATAGAAAATATGAAGAGCCCTATCTATATCTATGAAAGAAATGGAATTTGTGATTTAAAACCTTCCCACAAAGAAAATTCCAGGCTCAGATGGCTTCACTGATGAGTTCTATCAAACATTTGAAGAATTAATACTGTCTTACACCAACTCTTTCAGAAAAATTAAATAAAGGAATAATTCTCCTCTCATTTTATGAATCATATTATCTTGATACCAAAACCAGAGAAAGCTATTATAAGAAAAGAACAAGACTTCTGCACTGAAAGCTATGAAATAGTAATAAGAGAAATTATAGAAGCTTAGATAAGTGGAGAAATATGTCATATTTATGCATAGTACCCTTAGTATTATTGAGGTTGATTTCCCCCAAGTTGATCTGTAGATTCAACAAAATCCCCATCAGAGCCTCAGCAGGCTTTTTCTGGGAAGAAATTTCCAAAACTTATATACAGTGAACCTAGGATAGCCAAAAAATAAACAAAAAACAAAACCAAAAGCAATAAAACAAAGTTGGAATGCTTAGGTTACTAAACCTCCTGATTTCAAGACTTACTAAGCCTAAAGCAATCAAGATAATACAGTATTTTTGTAAGGGTAGACATATAGATCAATGCAACAGGATAGTCCAAAGATAGACCTACACATATTTAGTGTTGAATCAACAAAGATGCCAAGAAAATTCAATGGAGAAGGGATAGTTTTTTCAACAAATGATACCAGAACGATTAGGTATTATAAGGAGAAAAAGAACCTTGGTTCTTACCTTGCATCGTACTCAAAAATAACAAATGGATCTTAGACCTAAACAAAATCTAAACTTTAAAATTTCTAAGGGAAAATATAGGTTAAAATCTTCATGACCTTGGGATGTGAGAGATTTCTTAGCACAGACCATCTACCAAAGAAATAATCAGCACATTGGAACTCATTAACTAAACACTTGTTCTTTTAGAAGGACTTCATGAAGGAAGTGAAGAGGCAAGGTGCAGAGTGGGAGAAAATATTATTCATTAGGGAAATGCAAATTAAAGTACAAATCAAAATGAAATACTACTACACACCCAACAGAGTGGCTAGAAGTAAAAATATTGACAACCGAAGTATTGGCAGCTAGAGCTATCATATATTGTTGGTGGGAATGTAAAATCCTACACCCACTTTTGAATATGGTTCAGCAGTTTCTCATAATGTTCAATATAACTCACCATATGACCAACAGTTTCGCTTCTAGATATTTACCCATGAAAAATGAAAACACATGCCCATAAAAAGACGTATACACAGATGTTTAAAGCAGCTTTATTTGTAATAGCCCCAAACTGGAAACAATGCAAATGTCTATCAACAGATGAACAGATAAACAAATGGTAGAATACTCATACAGTGACATACTACTTGGCAATAAGAAGGAACTGAATACTTATGCACACAACAATACGGATGAAGCTTGTTTATGCCGAGGGAGAGAAACCAAACACAAAAGACAACATATTGTATTATTTATATAAAATTCTAGAACTACAGCAAGTCATCTTTATTAACAGAAAGGAGATCAGTAGTTGCTCAGATCTAGAATTTGGGGAGAGTGATTGCAAAGGAGCATCTTTTGGGGTGATAGAAATATTTGATATCTTGATTAGAAGAGTATTATATGTGAAAAACTCATTTAACAGTACACTTAAATGTGCATTTAATTACACGTAAATTATACCTCAGTTAGTTTCAAAAAGGAAAAAAAGGAAGGGATAATGCCAGATTGTTGCCCATCATTGGATGATAGAGATTTAAGTTCTACTTTTCCCATTTGGATAATCGCTTTGGGGGTTCACTTATTGAATAATCCCTCCTTTCCCCATTTTTCTGCTTTGCCACTTCTATTATGTATCAAGGTTCCATGTGTGTGTGGGTCAGTTTATATGCTTTTGTTCCATTTCCTTGGTCAGTTTGTTTATCCTGTCTTAATTACTTTAGCTTCTTAATAAGCCCTTTTATCATCATTCTTTTTCTTCAGAAATGTCTCAGCTATTCTTGAGCCTGTGTTGTTTTGCATACACTTCATAAAGAGCTTATCTGTTTCCGTGTTCTATGAAAAATCCTATTGGAATATTGATGGGAATTGTATTGAGTTTATAGATGAATCTGGGTAGACTTTGAGTTTCTGCAGTATTAAATCTTTCCATTCCTAACTGTGGTCTATCTTTCCATGTATTAAGATCTTCTTTACTGTCTCTCAGTACAGTTTGTAATTTTTCCCTGTAACATTCCTGCACATATTTTGAAAGATTTATTTCAAGGCATTTGATGTTTCTTATTCTGGTATAAGTGAAATCTTCCTTCTAATTATGTTTTATCGTGCCTTATCATTGATGTATAGAAGTGTGATTTTTTTGAATATTAATATATCCAGGGAACATTTGCTTTTGCTTTAGAAAGAAACTCATTCATCGATTTAGCAGAATTTGTCGTGTGTGTGTACGCTTTTAATATTTTTGTAAAGTAGTGGTGTTGAGGGAAAGCTTCCCCAAAGTCCTTAAGTTATTTTTCATAGTCAAGTCTCTACATGTAAGGTTGGCCCTGAGTCATGGGAAGAGGGTACTAGCTGGAGCTGTGGTGTTCCCAGCTTTAAATTTAGTCAGCTGTTTATGCAATCGTGGGTGTCAGTAAGAGGCATCTCTCGTCAAGCCAGTATCCTTCTTTTGGGCATATTTTTTATTGAGGTATAACTGACAAATGAAATTATTTACATTTAAAGTATACAATGTGATGATGTGATATACACGTACATTGTGAAAAGAATACCAAAATCAAGTTCATCAAGCCAATATCCTTGAATGAAGACATCCATGTATCTTCCATTCTAGGGATGGAGGCTGTCATTGTTAAAAACATGTCACTCTTCTCTTTTAGTATCCGGAGTGTGATGCAGAAGTATCTCGAGGAGAGACATGAAATCACTTTCGACAAGATTTTTAATCAGAAAATTGGTAAGCCTGCTTGTTTGTTTGGCAAACTGTAATTCCAGTCGTGGTATCGGGTGGCGCCACAGTAATGTAGAAATGCAGCCCCTAATGCTGTTACATGCTTTATAGCTCAAGCTGGGGATGAAGGAAATTGCATGTAATTAATAAGATACTAAATGATTACTTATGTCCCTAATAATATCTCTTGTAAGTAAGCTATTGGAAAACAGACTAGTTTGGCTGTAAGTTTTAAGACAGTTTGGGAGGTTCCCCAAATCAAAGGATTGGGTACTTGGAAACCAGGAAGAAGCTCTCTTTGGACCCGCATCTGAGGTCCTCAGCTTCTCTCACTGATCTTGTACGTTCCACGATCACAGGGGGTTGGCATGTGTCTTCATAAACCTCACCCCGCTCTTGTGTCTGCTCCCAAAGTGTGGGGCTGGCTTACTTGATCAGTTCTCACGGGTTTGTGGGTTTTGTTTGCTGCTCACTCTTGTCAGTTCCACATCAGTTTCCCTTATTCCTGCGGCTCCATTTGGGAGCTCTGCTTAGCCCGGTCACCAGGACTCCCCCTGTTGTGTACACAGAGCCCATGGACCCATGCCCACCTCTGGCCAGCGCTGGTCTCAGCTTATGCAGATGTGTGGTTGTGTAGGAGTGCTCTGCGGTGACCGCAGTTAGTGCCCTAGAGAAATTAGGACTGGACAGGAATTGCCTTGGTGGGAATTTCAAGACCCACAAGGAAATGAGACACTGCATTCTCACCTGCCTTCTCAAAGACCGGCAGTTTTTTTAAAGGTGACTGTCGGCTGGGTTAGATGAGAGCTGTTGGCCACCTGCTTTTTTTATCCCCATTCCCCAAAATCAGTTCCCCCTGTCCAGAAATTTCCTAAACAGCCGTCTGTTCTTGAGGCTAGGATTCATCATTTGGCCTGTCATCTGGCTCTGTTGTTAACTTGCCCACAGTGATGTACTAAACAGATCATGCTAGAGTTCTTCCGTGAAATACGCATAGCTGAGTACAAGAGACCAGGAAGTCTCTCTGCGTCTTGTTTGCCTCCCACAACTGCTCAGAGAAGGTTTGCGGAGGAACTGTGTCTGAGTTTTTTAATTGACTTAATACTAGAGGATTACTCTGTTAAAATTTCAAGAAATTAAAGTCTTCCTAAAGTTTCCTGGAACTCTGCTTCTGCATGTAGTTTTGTTTCCATGATTCGTAGACACAGGCTAGGACTTTCCTGGCGGTCCAGTTGTTAAGACTCTGCGCTTCCACTGCAAGGGGCATGGGTTCGCTCCCTGGTCAGGGAACTAAGATTCCCGCATGCTACACAGCACAGCAAAAAAGAAAAAAGAAATTTCCATAGACACAGGCTGACTGATCCCTTTGAGACTGAATATTCTTAGAGATAATTCTGGGTCGCCCTTCCGTGTACAGGTAAGGAGGTGTAGACCCAGGTTGATGAAGTGACTTGTTCTGATCTGACGTTCTCCTCCTCTGATAATTCTTTAAAGGCTCTTGGAAAGGAAACCATGACTGTAAAATACTGTAGAAAGTCACCCGGTAAAAACTGGAGAGGTTTTTTGTTTTTTTAGAAAGAGTTACAGTGATCTCCTTTGTTCAAGGAAAGCAGAAACCAGTGTGGAAAGTCTTTGGAAGTTTGTGAACCACTTTTTGTCACAAAGTAGCCGTCTATGAAGGCAGTCTTCTGTAGATGTGGCTTCTGTGATAACCCACAAAATACAGTGGTCAAAAGGCGGCTGGCGTGCTCTGGAGAAGCAGATGAAGAGTAGCCCGTCCGTTCTGAGGACAACGTGGGGAGAGCCCTTAGCCACATGGAAACGTTTCATCCTGAGCATCGGGATTTGGTGGGGGAACAGATTTGGCTTTCATCTCATCCTTTATTGCTGCTTCTCGTTGCTTTCATGGTGTTTGATTACCTGCCATCTATATAAATGCTCTCCTTGGCTTCTGATTTTGTACTGAAAAACAGAAAATAAAACTAGCCTGATAACAAGATTGAGAAACTCGGTAACTTTGGGAGGGAAGGCAAAAAAGGAGTTCTTTATTGGTTACTTAAATTTTTAAAAATGTTTTACAGCTTTGTTGAGATATATTTGAGATCGCATAAAATTCACCCCTTTCGAGTATACAGTTCAGTGGGTTCTCGTGCATTCAGAGTTGCATGACTGTCAACAAGTCCCATCACAGAACATTTTCAACACCCCAGAAAGAAACTCCACACCCATCAGCAGTCCCTCTCCATTCTCCCCTTCCCCCCAACCCCTAAGGACCACTAATCTAATTTCTGCCTCTGTGGATTTGCCTGTGTTGGACACGCCACATAAACGGCATCATAAGAAGAGCTAACACCTGTCCTTCTCAAACGCTTCCAAAATATAGCAGAGGGAGGAACACTCCCAAACTCATTCTACGAGACCACCATCACCCTGATACCAAAACCAGACAAAGATGTCACAAAGAAAGAAAACTACAGGCCAATATCACTGATGAACATAGATACAAAAATCCTCGACAAAATACTAGCACACAGAATCCAACAGCACATTAAAAGGATCATATACCATGATCAAGTGGGGTTTATCCCAGGAATGCAAGGATTCTTCGATATACACAAATCAATCAACGTGATACACCATATTAACAAATTGAAGGAGAAAAACCATATGATCATCTCAATAGATGCAGAGAAAGCTTTTGACAAAATTCAACACCCGTTTATGATAAAAACCCTCCAGAAAGTAGGCATAGAGGAAACTTTCCTCAACATAATAAAGGCCATATATGACAAACCCACAGCCAGCATCGTCCTCAGTGGTGAAAAACTGAAACCCACTAAGATCAGGAGCAAGAAAAGGTTGTTGCCCACTCTCACCACTCTTATTCAACATAGTTTTGGAAGTTTTAGCCACAGCAATCAGAGAAGAAAAAGAAATAAAAGGAATCCAAATCGGAAAAGAAGAAGTAAAGCTGTCACTGTTTGCAGATGACATGATACTATACATAGAGAATCCTAAAGATGCTACCAGAAAACCACTAGAGCTAATCCGTGAATTTGGTAAAGTAGCAGGATACAAAATTAATGCGCAGAAATCTCTTGCATTCCTATACACTAATGATGAAAAATCTGAAAGTGAAATCAAGAAAACACTCCCATTTACCATTGCAACAAAAAGAATAAAATATCTAGGAATAAACCTACCTAAGGAGACAGAAGACCTGTATGCAGAAAATTATAAGACACTGATGAAAGAAATTAAAGATGATGCAGATAGATGGAGAGATATACCATGTTCTTGGATTGGAAGAATCGACATTGTGAAAATGACTCTACTACCCAAAGCAATCTACAGATTCAGTGCAATCCCTATCAAGCTACCACTGGCATTTTTCACAGAACTAGGACAAAAAATTTCACAATTTGTATGGAAACACAAAAGACCCCAAATAGCCAAAGCAATCTTGAGAAAGAAAAACGGAGCTGGAGGAATCAGGCTCCCTGACTTCAGAGTATACTACAAAGCTACAGTAATCAAGACAGTATAGTACTGGCACAAAAACAGAAATATAGATCAATGGAGCAGGATAGAAAGCTCAGAGATAAACCCACACACATATGGTCACCTTATCTTTGATAAAGGAGGCAAGAATATACAGTGGAGAAGAGAGAGCCTCTTCAGTAAGTGGTGCTGGGAAAACTGGACAGCTACATGTAAAAGAATGAAATTAGAACACTCCCTAACACCATACATAAAAATAAACTCAAAATGGATTAAAGACCTAAATATAAGGCCAAACAGTATCAAACTCTTAGAGGAAAACATAGGCAGAACACTCTATGACATAAATCATAGCAAGATCCTTTTTGACCCACCCCCTAGAGAAACAGAAATAAAAACAAAAGGAAACAAATGGGCCCTAATGAAACTTAAAAGCTTTTGCATAGCAAAGGAAACCATAAACAAGACCAAAAGACAACCCTCAGAATGGGAGAAAATATTTGCAAATGAAGCAGCTGACAAAGGATTAATCTCCAAAATTTACAAGCAACTCATGCAGCTCAATATCAAAAAAACAAACAACGCAATCCAAAAATGGGCAGAAGAGCTAAATAGACATTTCTCCAAAGAAGATATACAGATTGCCAACAAACACATGAAAGAATGCTCAACATCATTAATCATTAGAGAAATGCAAATCAAAACTACAATGAGATATCATCTCACACCAGTCAGAATGGCCATCATCAAAAAATCTACAAACAGTAAATGCTGGAGAGGGTGTGGAGAAAAGGGAACACTCTTGCACTGCTGGTGGGAATGTGAATTGGTACAGCCACTATGGAGAACAGTATGGAGGTTCCTTAAAAAACTACAAACAGAACTACCATATGACCCAGCAATCCCACTACTGGGCATATACCCTGAGAAAACCATAATTCACAAAGAGTCATGTACCAAAATGTTCATTGCAGCTCTGTTTACAATAGCCAGGACATGGAAGCAACCTAAGTGTCCATCAACAGATGAATGGATAAAGAAGATGTGGCACATATATACAATGGAATATTACTCAGCCATAAAAAGGAATGAAACTGAGTTATTTGTAGTGAGGTGGATGGACCTAGAGACTGTCATACAGAGTGAAGTAAGTCAGAAGGAGAAAAACAAATACCGTATGCTAACACATATATATGGAATCTAAAAAAATGGTCGTGAAGAACGTAGGGGCAAGACGGGAATAAAGACACAGACCTACTAGAGAATGGATTTGAGGACATGGGGAGGGGGAAGGGTAAGCTGGGACAAAGTGAGAGAGAGGCATGGACATATATACACTAACAAATGTAAACTAGATAGCTAGTGGGAAGCAGCCGCATAGCACAGGGAGATCAGCTCGGTGCTTTGTGACCACCTAGAGGGGTGGGATAGGGAGGGTGGGAGGGAGGGAGATTCAGGACGGAAGAGATGTGGGGACATATGTATATGTATAGCTGATTCACTTT